AAGTATGATGCACTGACGGATCCCAAAGCAGCGGTACAGTTGGTATTAGAATTTCCGATCCGAAGCTGTGCACCTTTTACCGACTACCAGACCCCTGCAGCATTTTCACTGCTGAAGCTAGCCGCCATTCTCGTAGCTGCCACCCTACCCTCCAACAAACCGATCGTCATATTCTCCGATTCTGCCAGTGTTTTAGCAGCTCTTCAGTCTGAAACAGCTAAACTACCCATAATCGCATATCTGTCCCACCTTTGCTTGATTTCCTATCCATATGGGACTGATATGCGATTATGGGCAGTAAACACCCCTGGATCCAGGGTATCCAGCAGTTCGCTCCTAAACAAAAAACAACCTTTGTCTGGGTCCCCGGGCACTGTGGGATCAGAGGTAATGAGGAAGCCGACCACCTGGCGGCATCCGGAAGACAGTCCAACTTTTACACCAGAAAGCTCCCGGTCCAGGACATTAAGCGGTGGATCACAATCACTATATGGAACTGCTGGACTAACGAATCGATGCGATTTCGAGACTTATTTATCCAGAAGGTAAAAGGGGATACCAGGAAATGGGAGGATCCACCTGAACACCGACTTCTATCCCGGTTGAGAACCGGCCATACCAAAGTCTCCCACAACATGGGAGGCGGAGGCGGGTTCAGACGACAGTGCGATACGTGCAATGTTCCACTTACACTGGAGAATTTCGTATGCGAATGCCCCCGTTCCCTGTACGGGATCTCAGGCAGCATCAGGGATACCCGCATCCAGCATCGCTGCACTTTTCTGCATCCTTCAGGAGGCAGGTCTGATTAACCAAATTTGATCTATGAACACCCAAGCAACGACAACGGACAATGATCCGGACCAATATATGAACTCAAAACTATACCTCGGCAACAAATACTGACTCGGACACGGATGAACGAAGATATCAAACCAAGCAAAGTACGTACAAGGACACGGAAATGGACGAATGACGGCACTAAAATTAAATACAGCGACTACAAAGGAACAGGACACGGAACTTGACCACTTGACCACGATTATTCAAAAGGACAGTAACATCGGTAGCATTAAAGGAAAATTCCCAACTCTGAAATATTAAAACTCTGTTATTATGGGGACTCCCTGTTGGAGCTCCCGCCCATTCCCTAACTCCGTATCCTCGGGGTTCTCTTCGGGAACCTAACCTCCCCTTCCTTTTGAGGAATATTCCACTGGAAATCTCCGTTGAAAATGAAATGAACTATTCTGAGGTCTTCAGAACTATTTGAAAGTTTCCATATTTTTCCAGATGTTAATAAAACTGTCTTGAAGTTCTTTTGTAGTTTGAGAAACTAGCCTGATGCTCACAATACTTCTCACCAAATTCTTAACCTTTCCTGAACTTTATAGGAGTTCCTAATGTTTCCTCAATTTTTCTAATGATCATGGTTCTCCTCTAAAGGTTTAACAATTTGCTGAAGTTCTCTAAACTTCTTTAAAATTTATACTTCTCTAATGTTAACGGACCTACTCTGAGGTTCTTTGTTCTTTTCTGAAATTCTCAAAACTTCTCTAAAGTTTCTACAATTTTCATGAAGCTTGTTGTACTGTGCCGAATTGAACCGTCCTAAAAATGTTAAGCTTCAGTGAACTTCTTAACTTTTTAACGTCTTTGAAGTTATCTGAAAATTTGGGAACTGCTTTAAATTTCCTAATAATTTTCTGAAACTAATGGAACTGATCTCACTGACCTCCCCTGAAATTCCTCCAATTTTCGGAGCTCACTAAACTTCTTTCACATGCTCCCGTATTTTGCTAATGTTCATAAAAATTTCTGCCCTTAAGCTCCATAGATTTCTATGAATGTTTCTGAAGGCCACTGTACTTCTGTGAAGTTTTCGAAGTTTTTCTAAATTTCGATGCGTATCCCAAGGAACAGTCGTAGCTCTCCCAGGCTTGAGAATTTGAACTGCTTCGCCAGTGCTTTTGTGATTGTCTCGAATTCTTCTTTTGAGTGGCAGCATACAACCATGTCATCAACGTAGATCAAGATGTAACTGCGCTTACCATGTTGCTCCTTCACGTACAGGCAAGGATCCGATTCGGCAGGATTGAACCCCATCTTCTTGAACGTGCTGTCAATTTTCCGGTTCCAGACCCGTGCCGATTGCTTCAGCTGCGTTTCAACCGACAAACCTTGTCGCCGTCCGTTTTGAATCCAGGTCGTGACCACATGTATATTTCTTCATCTAGCTCGGCACACAAATAAGCAGTCTTGATATCCCTTTGTGCTGCACCAGCATGTCATCCCGACTGGCTATGGTCAAGATGGCACCCCTCACCATCCCTCTCCAAAGGGGGAGTTTGGTAAAGAGAGATGAAAAAACCGATTTGTACCTTCCTTAAAAGTTGTTCTAGCTCGCTATTCTAATAGCTATATGCAATCTTCACACTGCCGTACTCTAACGGAACTATCAACTCTATGCTTTCATCTACTCCATCTATCGTATAAACATTACCACTACAGTCTGTTATTTGAAATTAGCATCTTCAACTATGAGAAATACTGTTAAATACCCTTCAATATGGGTATTTTTGGAATCGGGATATCGTATAGAGTCCGGAAATAGATAACCGATGTCATCTTGAAATCCAAGATGGCAGCTTCTGGTTGCAGAAAAACTGAGAAATACTGTCAAATACCCTTTAATATGGGTATTTCCGGAATCGGGGTGACGTCTCGAGAGCAGAAATCAATGTCCGACTCCTTTTTGAAATCCAAGATGGCAGCTTCCTGTCTTAGACAAGCTGGGATATACTTTCAAATACCCTTCAAAATGAGTATTTTTGGAATCGGGATGACGTATGTTATCCTGATTCCAAAAATATCCTTATTGATGCATATTTGGTATTATTTCCCAGTTTTTTGCAACCGGAAGCCACCATCTTGGATTTCAAAATGGCGTCAGACATTTATTTCTGGTCTCTAGACATCACCCCGATTCCGAAAATACCCATATTGAAGGGTATTTGACAGTATTTCCCAGTTTTTTCTTTAACAGGATGCCGCCATCTTGGATTTCAAAATGGCGTCATAAATTGATTTCCGGTATATATACGTCAACCAGATTCTAAAAATACCCATATTGAAGGATATTTGGAATTATTTCCCAGTTTTTCTATAACTGAAAGCCACTATATTGGATTTCAAAATGGCGTCAGACATTGATTTCTGGTCTCTAAACATCACCTCGATTCCGGAAATACCCATATTGAAGGGTATTTGACATTATTTCCCAGTTTTCCTACAACTGGAAGCCGCCATCCTAGGTTTCAAGATGGCGTCAGACATTGATTTCCGGTCTCAAGACGTCACCCTGATTCCTGAAATACCCATATTGAAAGGTATTTGACAGTGTTTCAATTTTTTTCTATAACCGGAAGCCACCATCTTGGATTTCAAGATGGCGTTGGTCGACGATTTCTGGTCTCCACGTCACTCCGATTTTGGATATACCCACATTGCATAATACATCATTTGAATTCACAGTTTTTCTGTATTCAAAAACCGCTATTTCGACTTGACACTTCATAATTTTATTCATCAAATACAAATTCTGTTTAGTTATCTGCCAGCACTGGCAATTCTGAATAATGCGCACCACGCACATAAACATAGAACAGTACCGGATCGGTTCTTGAATTCAAAACATCATCCTTGTGAACACGAACGCCGGTGCTGGAAAATCAGAACCGCACCGTGTGCAGCAAACTGGTGAACACGGTGCGGTCATAGAGGTAACTCTAAGACTAGAAGGTCCCGAAGTAACGTGCTCAACTTTTTGGCTCACCTCTGGTACTCTCTTCGGTCCCAAGCTAATCGATTCACCCCTCGAAACATAGGAAAAACCAATAACCCCTCATTTTATCTGTCAAACTTTCATAGCGAATCAAAACAAACATTGCGTAGTACTAGAATTTTGAATAGAATGGGATACGTTAATCGTTTGCTTGGGACCAATAGGCTAGTCAAGTAGTGAGCCAATTTAAAATCGTTAGTTTCGTATTGATTGTTGGTGCGGTGTTGCTTGCAACTACCAAATCGAACCGACAGTAGCACCAAACACTCGGTACAACAGATCAGCACATTGGTTATGATTTAGAAATCCGTACCAGTGCTGTACCGGTGTTTTGCCCATCACTGCTTTTCTGGTCCGGCCTCGACAAACGTTGCGTCCCGGCTGATGTAGATTTTCCAGGTTGCTTTATCCAGGAACCGATACGCCTTGTGATTCCTTACGGCGTGACTGTAACGGATCTTGATGGCGATATGTTTTGCAAATATACCGCCGTATTCAATGCTTCCGCCCAATAACACTGATGCAATTCAGAATCGAACAGCAGGCACCTACCCATTTCGATGAGATAACGGTTTCGTCGCTCCGCCACTCCGTTTTGCTGCGGACTGTGCGCCACCGTGTATTGTGCCTTGATGCCTTCTTGACGGTAGAACGAACGAAGTTTCTCGCTGCTATATTCTCCTCCTGAATCGGACCGCACGACTTTGGGTTTGCGGCCAAACTGGGTCTTGACCGCTTCGACATATTCGACGATTTTATCTGCTACCTCCGATTTCCCTCTCAGCAAATACAGCGTACAGTACCTGTACAGTACTGTATCATTCGGGGTAGCGGCGTTCTGGTAATGTTATACTGTCACCAGCGTTGGAAAAGATCGTGATATTTCACGAAGTTCACCAAGGGAAAAGTTTGAGAGTCATAGTGAGTTTTGGTGCACTTTTCCAACACTGACTGTCACTAACATATTTGAATAGATTTTACACCAAAACATAGGATTTCAGGAAACGGATTTTCCAGGAAAGTTAACATTTCCAGGTCAAATAACGTAAAAAAAACGACCCTGGAGACTTGCATTTTGACTCATTAAAAAAATGCATAAGTAATTGAACGTAGAATAATAGGAGCCACAATCTGATAAGAGTAAAACGATACTTACTGCTCGCATTCTGCACCGGCACCATCTGCTGCGATGACATCTGCGTAACTACTGGTGGCAATGTAGCAGCCATCATCGTCGGTTGTTGCTGGTGCTGCTGCTGTTGTTGTTGCTGAACTGCAACCGGTTGTTGTTGTTGTTGTTGTTGTGAGATCTGCTGCACTGGCGGCTGCATCTGTACCACAGGTTGATACTGCTGCTGCTGTGGTAGTTGCTGTTGATGAATCTGTTGCGATTGCATTTGTTGTTGGACAGACTGCATCTGTTGCTGTTGCTGTTGTTGCTGAAGGTGATGTTGCTGCTGTTGTTGGAGCAATATCGCTTGTTGTTGTTGAAGAATTTGCTGTTGCTGTTGATGGACTGTTTGTTGCTGCTGTTGCATAGGAACTACTGGAATCATTGGCTGTGGTGGTTGTTGTTGTTGTTGTTGTTGTTGTTGCTGCTGTTGAGGAATCTGTTGCTGCATCTGTTGTTGTTGTTGTTGCATTTGTTGAAGTTGATGAATTTGCTGCTGCTGCTGCTGTTGTTGTTGCTGCTGCTGTTGTTGTTGTTGCTGTTGTTGTTGCTGCTGTTGTTGTTGCTGCTGTTGTTGCTGTTGTTGTAGAGCTGCAGCAAAGTTCGGTTGAACAGCTTCCATGTTGGGTGTTTTCGGTATCACCAGGTTGAGCTTGGCCTCCAGATCATTGGTAGTGGGAACTTCGCAGACCAGCTGTTGTTGCATCTGCTGTTGTTGGGCAGGGAAAGTCTGGCAGGACTTTTCATCCGTAGGCGATGAGTAATTCGGAATAGGCTGTTGTTGTTGCTGCTGCTGCTGCTGCTGCAGCTGTGGTGGTGTTTGATCTGTTTTGGAAGATTCTTGCACGGTTTGCACCTGGAAGCGAGACACTTTACGAACCATAGGCTTCGCATCATTCGGGAACTTGGGTTCAGAATATTCCACCGAAGGACTCGTCACCGTTGAATTTTGCTGTAATTAAAGAAACGTTCAAGTCAATCGTCTTAAGCGCTCCCAATTTTAATCGGAAATTACCTGTGTCTGAAGGTGCTGCTGTTCGAACGCAGCCAGCTGCGGAGGCTTCGGATGCTGCTGCACTACGGGTGGCTCGTTGATTTGAGCGGACGTCAATTGAGCCAATTTTTGATGGAGATCAGCCAACGAATTGTTTCCAGAACTGTTGAGTAAAAACCAAAAATGAGATAAAGCAATTTTGAATAGCCAGATACCAACTTACCTATCTATCCGATCGACGCTACCCTGATTGGACAACCGTTTCTCCTGATCCCGCAGGTTGGGAGTGCTGGCATCACTGCCGGCAGCGCTGACAGCCGTCACTGAGGTTGGTATGGATCCGGGTTGCGTTTGTTGAATGTGCTGATGCTGCTGCTGCTGATCGGTGCCCGGTTGGACGTTTATATCGGCCGACGTGCGTCTTGAGTTGTACATCGAGATGTCCTGGGACGATGGAAGTGTATTTAGCAAGTGCTGTTGCTGCTGAAGAAGTTGCTGTTGTTGCAGCTGTTGCTCTAAATACGCCGTGTTGCCATCTATCACATACTCCTGAACCACTTCCGGTTGGACATCCGGTACGAACTCTTGTGCTTGGTAGGTTTGCTGCTGTTGTTGTTGCTGCTGGACGAGATAATCATTGGGCGGAAGTTGACCTTGGGAATCAACTGGCTGCTGGATCGGTTGCTGTTGCTGCTGTTGTTGTTGGACCGAATGTGTGGACGATGAAGATGACGACGGTTTGCTCGTAATCACGTGAACGTGTGTAATGCTTTCGAGACCTATTTTCAACTGTTCGAGGGTTTCTGGCATGCGACTAGGCTGGGAATCACGTGATGCGTGATCAAGTGAGGTTTGAGATGAAACCGAAGCTGGTTGTGATTGTGGTTGCTGTTGCTGCTGTTGTGCTTGTTGTTGCTGTTGCAGTAGCTGCTGCTGCTGGAGAATTGCTTGCTGGTATTGTTGCTGCTGATACAGCTGTTGTTCGTACTCAGCAGCTGTTACTTCTGAGATGATTTGTTGCTGCTGCTGCTGCTGCTGTTGTTGCTGGAACTGAAGCTGCTGCTGCTGTTGCTGTTGCATCTGGTATTGATACTGACGCATTTCCGCTTCCTTTTGTTCCATCAGTAATCTTTGCTGCTGCTGCTGCTGATACATTTCCATCTGTTGCTGTTGTTGCATGAGCATTTGCTGCTGAAGGACTTCATTCGAAGCTTGCACATTAATCTGTTCCGGTGGAACATCCGTTGGTTGCTGGGGGACTTGCGGTTCGACATTCGGAGCAACAGCTTCCGCAGCAGGAACTTGAGATGGAATTTCATTATTTTCCCCTGGTCTGGGCGATTCTAGGGCAGCTGATTTCATGTCCTCTGTCGGAAGAACTACGGGCGTAACGGAAAATCGAGACATCTTCCTTTCCCGTATCGGTTGCCTGTTTTCAGTACTCGGGGAATCAACGGGACCATTGCTAGTGCTTGCATTGTTAGAAATAGGGGTAGGAGTTGCGGTAGAACTAGTAGCAGAAGTAGATACTTCCTGGTTACTAACTTGTTGACTAGATGAAATTTCAGTATTACTGTTAGTAGTAGTAGTATTAGTGGGTTTGTTATTCTCATCGTTACTGGCTAATGGCACTGTAATAATACACTGATCAGTTTTGTCTGCTTCCTGACATCCCGAGGAAGCAGCAGGTGCGGCAGCGGCAGCAGCTCCACCCATATCCTGCTCCAGATCGTTATACACAAAGTGCTGCTGCATCTGGCTACCCGGCGTAATCGTATTTTCCGGGGTATTTTCATGCGATGTATAATCCGTACTTATCGTACTGGTCTTTCTGGAATTTTCATCACAGCTACTGTTGTTATCATTATTTCCATCATCCATCACTACGTTGGTAACGGTCGTCAAATCTCCGGTTCCACCACTCAGATCCCCGATCGTGACAATATCTTTCAAATCCCCTTTGGAACCATGTTGTATCGTCGAGTCAGAACCACTATTCCCCGTGACGCTACCGTTGCTGTCGACGGACATCGTCTTCTGCAGGTCCCCGTTGATACCGGAACCGGCTGGACCGGGTTGCTGCTGTGACAGTGGCGATGAAGAAGCCGATGAATTCGTTGTGCTGGACACGGCCGTAGCCAGCGCTTGCCGATCGATTATCGTCGGATCGAACATGTGGGAAAAGTTCGAACCGGTCGAAGAGGTTTCATCGCGCTGGTTTTTATAGTGAAGCAATCAGAAAAGATTAGATTCAATCGAAAAGTGAATGGCGAAATGGTGTGAGAGGAGGTATGTGGGAACAACATTGCACAAACTTGGTCTACATGGTATACGGCGTATGCTAGCAGGTGAAGGTTTAACGTACGAGATGAGTTGAATTGGTAGGTAGTTCTTACCAGTGATTGGTTGGCACACTAGAAATTCGTTAATGAAAAATATGAAAGCTTTCAACACACTGGCAACAATCACTAATGGAAACAGAAAGTAAACAACACTATAAGCTTACTGTCGCTGCATTATATGCTATTTGAAACCGTCTCGTAAATGCTATCCAAGTTGGTAAGACTACAATAGGCTGGACACTAAGCACGAATGCCGAAAAAAAAACAAAACAAATAGCTCAAAGTCGAAGGGCAAACTTTGCAACCTCGGCCCGACCAGCATCAAAATGACTAATTCCTAGCGGTCGATCCGAGCTGCCACAATGGGAATCAAAGCTTTAGCAACTATTTTGACCCGTCGTCATTGAAGCTGTTCGCCAACGTCGGCCAAAACTGTGTTCTTAATCAAACCATAACATGTTTGACAGTTCAAGCTGAATACGACAGCTCTCGGCCAAATAGCAAAACAATTTTTTTTGGCTCGATCTCTCCGATTTGCATATAATTGTTTGTCATGGGCACAGGACACAGGGTGGCCACTGAATTTAAGACATTATGTTTCCGGTTTTTCCAGAGTGCCCAACATATTTTCCCGGTTTCATAGAAACAGCTGAATATGGTAAAAAGGGAATACCGATATGCTTGATTTTAGCAATTGATGCAATTCAACAATTTAAATGCAGAAAATCGTAGAAACCCCCTCCCCCTCTTCTATTAAGAAACAACGTAATCTACGGAATAACATTTGAATTCTACGATTAAGATTCTTTTTAAATTACACACGAAAATTTTCAATATTTTCAGGCAAGGTCAGTATTTTACAATCTTGAACTTTGTGAGATTTTTACTTGAATTATGGCCTATTATAAAGATCTCAGATTAAAAATAAACTACAATGGACAGCCCTATGGGGTTGTACGCAATGGTGACGTAGCACTATGTGGTCTTATATAATCAATCTTATTTTTTAACTGCAGCAGGAGCTTGTGTTTTGTGTAGGAATAGGAATTTGAGCGGGGTTCTCTCTGTTTATACTCTTTAGTATGACGCGCTTGACATAGATGGCCCACAGCGACTCACGAAGAGCTACTGATTCCGATCAATAGCGGTGCGGCTTCTTCCTTCTTGTATGGACGCTCATGTGGGCTGAAGCTCGCTGCTTGCGGGGAGCCTTTCGTACACAACTGGAGAACACCACCACTCACCACGCGGTGATTGAAAAAAAAAACACCGTTTGGTGAGACCGGATGGAATTCAACTTTGAAATCTGTGTTAGGGAAATCGCTTTTCGTAGGCAATCGGTGATCATTTTAATTATCATAGCAACAATTGCACATTCGGGCAAATTTCAATAGTAACATTTTGAAAAATTATAAATTCCTTATTTTAATAGATACGTAGAAATATTTCTGATCCATTGGTGATAAAATTATTGAAATTGGTCCAGGGGCAGCTGAGTTATTAACGTTCAAAATCTTTCATAATTTTGTTGCATGTTCCATTTTCGGTTTTCACAAAGTGTACCCCCATATAGAAATCACAAACGTAGTCCTACGTCAAAAAGAATCAGGGCTATTGGACTAGGACAAAAATTTAGGATTCTGACACTTCAAAGCATTGCCTAAAGAATTAAAATGAGAATGCCAAATGAGCAGAGGCGAATTGCACAGGAAATCTAGGGATGATTATAAAGTATTTCTGGGGAGATTTTCAATTGAATTTAACTAGAAACTTCATGTATTTTGTTATGTATTTAAAGGTAATTTTAAGGAGAACTACAGGTAATTTCTAAGGTAGTTCTGAAGAGACTATTGAGTGAAATTGTAGGGAACTGTAAATCAAATAGGAAGGAATTTCAAGAAGCATTCAAAGGCAATTCGGAAGAGGATTCAATGTGAATTATTCGTAAAGCAAACTTAACTGTCATAATACTGAACTTCCAAAATGCGTGTCGATTCTGTGAAATAGCACGATTTTCCCGTTGTCGAAAAGTAATTTTTTTGTTTGAATTAAATTCTTAATATAGGGCTTAAATCTAATTTTGGACCTGCTAAGCACAACCCGCCCTTGCCTCTATTTTTCGAGTGGATTTTTTTTCTCACAAAATGGAATGTTTTCACTGCAGATGACTTCTGAATTTATTTACCTTTCTGTACGTACCGTAAGATTTTATAAACAGAAACAAATTGTTGAGATATTGTTAAAAATCTAACACTGTCTCTTGACCCCAAACTCGGCCTACGAATTCTAAATTAGGCCTAATGCATTGAAACAGCATTCAAATGCCATTGAATTCACTTCGGCAAATTGGATGAAGAAAAAATTGATTCGGTCGGAGCGCTTCTTTTGTTTTTGAGAAAAATGGGTGTACACATTCCTACCACGCGTTCTCATTTACTTCATTCGGTAGCTTTTGAACTGATCGTATCGTACTTACCTTACCAATCAGGCTAAGGCCTTGTTGTCCTCTGCTGTCCGAAGAAGTCGTCTCCACTCTACTCGATCCATGGCCACAGTTCGCCAGCCTCGTAGTCTGCGAAGGGTCCGCAGGTCACCTTCTACTTGGTCGATCCACCTTGCCCGCTGCGCGCCTCTTCTTCTTGTTCCTGTTGGGTCGCTTTCTAGAACCATTTTCACTGGGTCCTCGTGCGGCATTCTTACGACGTGCCCAGCCCACCGTAGTCGCCCAATTTTTGCAATGTGGACGATGGATGGTTCTCCCAGCAGCTGGTGCAATTCGTGGTTCATTCGCCTCCTCCACGTTCCGTCATCCATCTGCACTCCACCGTAGATGGTACGCAACACCTTCCGTTCGAAAACACCAAGGGCGCGTTGGTCCTCCACGAGCATAGTCCAGGTCTCGTGGCCGTAAAGGACCACCGGTCTAATCAGCGTCTTGTAGACAGTCAACTTCGTGCGGCGGCGAATTTTATTCGACCGGAGCGTCCTCCGGAGTCCAAAGTAGGCACGATTCCCTGCCATAATGCGTCTTTGAATTTCTCTGCTGGTATCATTTTCAGCGGTCACCAGTGAGCCCAAATACACGAACTCATCGACCACCTCGATTTCGTCACCGTCAATCTGAACTCGGGGTGGGTGTCTTCCCTAGAACCTCTTGCTTTCATATATTTTGTCTTTGATGCGTTGATGGCAAGTCCAATCCGTCTAGCTTCAGCCTTCAGTCTGATGTACGTTTCCGCCATCATCTCAAAGTTCCGTGCCATAATGTCAATGTCATCGGCGAAACCAAGGAGCTGGATGGACTTCCTGAATATCGTGCCACTCGTGTCTATCCCAGCTCTTCTGATCACACCTTCTAACGCGATGTTGAACAGCAGACACGAAAGTCCATCACCCTGCCGTAACCCCCTTCGAGATTCAAAGGGACTCGAGAGTGTCCCCGATACTCGAACAACGCACGTCACTCGATCCATCGTCGCCTTGACCAATCGCGTCAGTTTATCCGAAAATCCGTACTCGTGCATAATCTGCCATAGCTGATCTCGATCGATTGTGTCGTATGCGGATTTGAAATCGATGAACAAATGATGTGTGGGCACGTTGTATTCGCGGCATTTCTGCAGAACCTGCCGAATCGCGAAAATTTGGTCCGTGGTAGCGCGGGCACCCATGAATCCCGCCTGGTATTGCCCCACGAACTCTCTTGCATATGGTGACAGACGGCGGCATAGAATTTGGGAGAGTACCTTGTAGGCGGCGCTCAGCAGTGTGATCGCGCGGTAGTTGCAGCAATCCAACTTGTCGCCCTTTTTGTAGATTGGGCATACGACACCTTCCATCCACTCCTCCGGTAATATCTCCTCCTCCCAAATCTTGGCAATTACCCAGTGCAGCGCTCTAGCCAGTGCTTCACCACCGTATTTCAATAGCTCACTTGGTAGTTGATCTACACCAGTTGCTTTGTTGTTCTTCAGCCGACCGATCTCCTCCTCAACTTCTTGAAGATCAGGGGCCGGTAGCCTGTCGTCTTCTGCGCGTGCTCCAAGGTCTGTTGCCGTGCCACCTTCGTTTTCTGCTGCTTCACCGTTGAGGTGCTCGTCATAGTACTGCTTCCACCTCTCAATCACCTCACACTCGTTCGTGAGAAGGTTACCGTCCAAGTCCTTGCACATATCGGCTTGCGGCACGTAGCCTTTGCGCGAACTATTTAGCTTCTCGTAGAACTTCCGTGTGTCGTTTACGCGGTACAGATTTTCCATCGCCTCGCGATCTCGATCTTCCTGCTGACGCTTCTTCCTTCGGAAAACCGAGTTTTGTCTGTTCCGCGCTTGTCTGTATCGCTCCACATTCAATCTCGTGCGGTGTTGCAGCATTCTCGCCCGTGCTGCATTCTTCTCCTCTACTAACAGTTTGCATTCGCCGTCAAACCAGTCATTTCTTCGGTCCGGGATTGCAGTACCTAGTGCCGCTACAGCAGTACTACCTATGGCTGAACGGATGTCCCTCCAGCCATCTTCAAGAGAAGCTGCGCCAAGCTGCTCTTCCGTGGGTAGTGCAACTTCCAGCTGCTGCGCGTAGTCCTGGGCAACTCCGGTGTCCCGTAGTTGCTCAATGTTGGGTCGTGGCGTTCGACTTCGACGTGTGTTATGCACCGTCGAGAGTTTTGAGCGCATGCATACTGCAACTAGGTAGTGGTCCGAATCTATGTTCGCACTGCGGTACGTGCGGACGTTGATAATGTCGGAGAAGAATTTCCCATCGATTAGAACGTGATCGATTTGGTTTTCTGATCGTATCGTACCAAACGCATAATTGACTTGTTAACTCTAAAACAATTGATTTATTTGATGTTTTCTGCTAGATAGGCCCAAA